AGTTTATTTTTTGTAAGAAATAATAAAATATGCTTGATTCAATTGAGTTTATCAGCCTCAGCCAAATTGTTGACCATGTAAAGTATTTCAACACAATAGTTTGAATACTGTTTGGTTACAAATCATTCTATATTGATGTTATTGTTTTGTAATACTCATATGTGTGTAATATGATTCATATATTTTCTCATAGTTTGCTGAGAAAGGTCATAGGTCAGGTCATGTAGCGTTACATAAATGTTGCTGGGGAGGCACATGGTATGTAGAACTCGACGAAGAGGAAATGAAATCTAAATTGGGTATATAGTTTACTGTATTTCACTTTAATCTGTTATTATATAGTGTTTTGTATTTTTTACGTTTATCTACATCATTTCGACTACTGCTATATAATTGTCTGTCTACTTACTGATTATTGCACTATACTTAAAAACAAATATGGACACAATAACGTATGCTATAATATTGCAGATTGAATTAAATTCGCGTATACACAGAAAACTGGTTAACTAAAATTCTGAGTAATGTTTAATTTTACAAAAAGGACAGTAAATAAAACATTGAAATGATAAGGTAAATATAATTACAACACAAACAAACATTCCGATGCTGTTGATGACGACACAGTAACAAGTTAACAAAGAGAAGCCCTACATTTGCTTGACGAAACAAAACGGTATTCTTGTATAATTAGTTAGAAAACATAATTACAGTGTCACCTTACATATAGAAATATCAGATGTTTTAATAAACATTTTATTTTTTCTAAAGCGTCAATCTGGACAATGATATCAAAACGTGTCCAATTCAATATGGCGGCCTAGTGTTATTTCAAAACCTTACACCACACCGAAGAGGTATTTACATTTTAGATTTTCTTTCAAAGACATTCATTATGAAATAAATATATTTATAATTGATGAAAATAATGATTGAAATTATTTTGTAATTTACTGACGGAAATAAGTACTGCTTATACCGCTGAAGTAAAGATAAATTTATGTGATAATCATGTGTTTAGAAGTGCATTTAAGTACTCTTCGTTTTAATGTAATCACATTGTTCCTATTATAAGTAATGAAAAATAAATCAACATTTGTCTTCGTTCGCCAATTCTACATTTCGATTCGGAACTATATGTTTCTAGTTCTGATCATTGTAGTTTACCTAATATGTCCAATGACGTGCGCTGGAGTCTTGACCTACGCTGGCAGCGTCCAAGTGATCCAGATGGTCTCTGGGGCTTAAAGAAGCCCGTTTTGATGAGGACAAAAGATGATCCGAACATGGAAATAGATTGGACGGAATTTGATTCTGTTGACCGCCACTCGAAACAGAAGGAATCAGTTGCCGATGTAATTTTTGATATTTTTCTCGTCCTATATATATTGTGTGTCCTCTGCGCCATGTATGTTTGTTATGTGGCTTCTGCGCAATGTACGTAAATGTGTGTTGTACATAAAGAACGTCAAACTGGCTTTGACTTATCGCCTGGCACAGAACAGCCCATTATAGTAATTATAGTATTAGGGCCTTATGAATAACGTTAAAACCCAGTATATATTTTGATATTGCACTTGATCTTAATGACTTAAACTTAAACGACTCAGTATTTCATATCTATACATGTAGCATTTGTACTTTTATTTAGAACTAAAACAGGATGTGTACATGAACTTTAAGTGTAATATTTCTGTATAATTTAGAATCCAGCACCAGCAGAAGATCCCGAGTTTGACACGACATTACCCGGTCCTTGGATGAAGAAATGGGAAATTGTTCACATGAATAAACACACTGAACGACATAGAAAAGATGAGGAAAGAACAAGTGCCTAAACAAGTGCCATAGTGTTATACGATCTCTCTGATTTGATTAACATTGTATTAAATTACTGACCAACTATTTTCATATTGTATTCATGGTTTAAAGAAAAGTGTTAAGTTTGACAAATGGCATATGTAAGGCTTGATGTATATTGTAGCAATCCGTATTTCAACCAAGAAAATGACATGTTCGTGAAGTTAGCCAGACAGCCGGAACAGCCGGAGCAAATTTTCGTTTAGTCCGGCTGTTCCGGCTACGCCGCCTAGCCGGAATCCAGTTCCGGCTGAACAAGCTAGCCAAAAATATACAGTAAAACCTGTGCAAGAGACCATTGATTTATTCCATGATGTAGTTTCAAATTACTTATCACCTCGATATCTGACTATTCAGGCTAGCCAAAATAACCGAAATGAAGACTACCTCAGATGTAAAAAATCAGAAATATTCTAAGAAAATGAGCGACGTCCAGGACGCAGGACCCAATAAAAAGACAAGTAATTCTACGAAAAGTTAACATCAAGCAACGAATAAAGTCCGAGGGCATATTACATATGTATCATGTTGAGAATTCTTGTAGTGAATTTAAAAAGCAAAATCCAGTTTATAATAATAAAGAAAGTATTTCAGATAATATGTAATGGTACATGCACAAACTATTTATGTAGATATGATATTTTTTAAGGATTTGCCTTTGAAACTTGGATAAAATTGATGATCCTCGAATTAAACGAAGATTTGTACATTTAAATTGGCCAATTTAAAATTTCAAACCTTTATTTTGGAATGAATTTTAAAAGTAATAAAAGGATGAAAAATGTTGACAGAAATGAACTTTGTTATTTAGAGTTTATTTTGTTTTATTAGTGATAATTTTACGTCTGAGTCATGCGTATTTTACGTATAAATTAATTCGGGACCCACTGTTTACTGTATAGACTCCGTTTACCCAAATAATTGTATTAGACTTCATTATCAGATTGTTTTTTTTATGAATAAGTAAGTTGAGAAAATGTATCGTTTAGTACAAATAAATGCGTTTCTTGTTCCCTAGATATTGAGGGTTTTGTTAACTTTACTTCCACCAAGTAAGTCCCGGTGTTTACAGTTTAATGTAAATTGGCTAACATGTTATCCAATCGCTACACTGAGATAATACATAGTCACTGGCACAAAAGAACACATGCTTATGTTTGTGATACTGTTTGTGAGCAATTGACCTAGCAATGAATGGAAAAGGTGTAGCTAAATGTTCCGCTATGAAAAACCGGAAAGGTCCGTAGTTCACAATTTAAAATATATGTAGTTTCCATTCATTTATTTTAGATGGTTTCTGACTTGAACACAAGAATTTTTTAGGAAAACCATTATGGTAATGAGTCACTTGGACAAAACAACAAATGTTACTAGACCTACCTATTGAAATAAAAAAGAAAAAGTAATTGTTTTCTTAAATTTTCTTCTTAGGGATTTGTTAAAACCTTTTATTTGCTTGCTTTTAAAAAAGGAAAAATGTCAAACGTTTACCCGCCAGCCGGTGGCTCTTGCTTACAAATGCTTTATTACCTTATTACTTTTAACAACCTGTCGTTAAAACACTACATATAGCTTAACTATGACAGAGTAACTTTTAACAGATTTTGTTCATTGACTTGATGACAGGGATTATGTAATACAGAGTCATTATTGTTAATTCTTGATGTAATATTTAATAATTTAATTTCATTTGTTAAGAATGTCACTTAAAGCCTATTAGCGCTATAACAATCAATCTAACATGTTTATAGTTATGATCATTTCTCGTGTAGGGTATGCCATTCTTTAATTACTCGGAGGTAGTACTAGTATGCCGTATTTCACGGAATGGCATGAAAAAGATAAATTGGAGGCTCACTGATCAAAGCCACATTAATTGACAGTTAAAGCATTGTAATACCGGATGTTGAGTTCTGCCTAACCGGAACTTAGGTCTTGGACGGTACCTCGTATAAACAAGTAAACTTTAACTGAACAGTTGGGAAAATTATATTCTGTAAAAAGTCTGTTAAATAGAGATCCCCTCGATGGTGTAAAAACTAGAACAAAAGTTAATAATTGCATACTTTGTAATAAAAATTGTTCATACAAGAAAATGGAAAACGCAATATTTCTCAAGTCCCTTCAGCTGTATTCAGTCTCCAACTCTTAAAAATATTGGCAAAAATGATCCCAAATGACCAAACAAAATACATGCATACCAACTGGAATTTTGAGCGTTGTTTCAGCTACCGCTCTGCATTTACCCCGTACTGTTGTAAGAATAAATATTCTTGAAAAAAATGCATAATAATGATAATATCTTTATTTAAAGAAGGTAACACATGAAAATACACCATCGTAAAACACAAATAACATATCTTAATTTTAAACGTGGCCTTCTAAATAATATATAAAGACACACCCACAAAACAACATCATTAAACAAGAACAACTATATCATTTGTCAATTAAGATTTGGTCCTATAACAAACATAATTTTATTATTTTAACAAACGCTTCTTTTCGATATCAAAATTACATTCATACAATTTTCTTTTACATATAATAAACAAATAAACATAATAATAATAAGTATTATAACATAATGACATAATGACAGAGTTATGAACAGAACAGAAATTTTATTAAGACTTTTACAATGAATATTTTTGTTATGAAGATATCTATTTCATCTACAGTTATGATCCTATAATATCCTATAAGAACGGATACTACGGTTCGTGATCAATGAAAACAAAAATAATAAATAGTTGAAACTCGCACACCATTAATAGACGTTGAATGCTATAGTATTTGTATATTAACTGTAGATGAATTAACAATAAAGTGGAGTCGATGTATCATTATTGTTTTGGTCATCTCCATTGTTGAAAACCAGCGGAGTTTCTGTTTACTTTCTCCCTCTATTTAAATGTATTTTATTCATGTTTTTCATGGCAAGAAAGGAGTTAATTTCAAAAGGTTTACTTAGCAGAACATATATAATGGCTTATGGCATTAGAATAACTATAATGCTTATGGATTTTTTAATAATGCAATTCGTTTCTTGTACCGTAAAATCAGAAGATTTACCAGTGATTTTTATTTGTTTGGGTCGTCAGACCAAACAAATAATGGTAGCGAAATTTCAGAGTCTAATGCTGTTATTTGCAAATGCCGAAAGTAGTCCACTTTTTTGAAGCGGTTACTTCCCTTTATATGTACACTAACGCCGAAAAATTCAGGGGAGATCACTGCGTAAAGATGGTCAAAGACAGGCACATTAATTTTCAAGCAAAATAATTCCCGAATGGTCGAAGATTTCTAATACTGTTTTATTGTATTTTCTGATCGAAAATAAGTAAATACAAAGCGGAAATTCAATCTCTGACAAAGAAGTTTACGACAAATCTAACAACAAGTAGTTCTCAAAACAGCTTAAAACTAGCGATTTAAAAGAAAGAAATATTTTTATTTTGTTACAAGAATCCAACAAATTACAACGCATTCAAAGTTTAAAAATAGCGTTGGCTTATAGAATTGTCAATAAATGCACAATCACAAATCACGCGGATGAATATGATTTTATCAATGAAAATACTATTTTTAGCGATGTCGATTACCGAATACTACACAAACCGAGTAGTGGAATATATAGATTCTACATGTCGGACTGTTTGGGCGAGAAGATTTTCGCTAAATTATTTACTTCAATTTTAAACAACAGGTTTATCCTGAACAAAATACCTCGAAATTAATAAGGAATTACAAACCCGAAATGCAATGGAAGTTCTAAATTTAGAATGACTTGATGTTATTCAGACAATGTTTGTATAACTTCTCCGTGGTGCAGGGGTAACGCGCTCGCTTAGTGAGTGAGAGGTCTGGAGTTCAAATCCCAGTCGAGGAAACTTTTTTTTAAATTCCTTTTTAAGTGTCTTTGTTAATGAAGTAGCCATGATATGCAAGGATAAAGTGTGGCTGTCGTAAAAAATGAACATAAATGATTTTTTGATGCAACTCTAGTTATGCAGAATTCCGTATGTATCAAACTCTGGTGCCTTGCAAAATGAATTATAATACATAAAAATAAACTTATACAGGAAAATACATACAGATATACAGTACGATTTAGATTGCAATCAGAAAATACCACAGAACTTGCAGCCCTTTATGGTTTTCTTCAGGCCGTTCACATATAAATTCACCGTGGCTGAAGGGTTTTCGCGCTCGCTTAGGAAGCGAGAGGTCTGGAGTTCAAATCCCAGTAAAGGCAACTCATTTCTTTTTCAAATGGTTTAAGTCAAATAAACATTGGATTGAATATCAGTGTTGCAATTAGTCTTATAGCCAATTTACTACAATTAAAACGATGGAAAGCATTGGTGGCACTATACATATAATCTCACAACCTGTACCTGTTCTTACATTCTGAGACCCAAACAAATTCAGCGCCTTCTGTGCTTTGATTTATAATTAATTTCAATAAGATATTTACTTGTAATTTTCTACTATCACACTGTTTGATGAAAATACTCCCATCAAACGGATTCTGAGGGGAAAAGTGTTGTGTCTAAGAATAATTTATAACTCTCTTTTGCAAAATTTTGGAGTTATTACACTTTCCATCTTTTTCTCATGCTTAAACTTTGTATTTGGCATAACCAAAAGGTATAGCAGGTATTTAATTGAAACTTAATAGATTGATATATTACATATAGGCAAAGAGAAGTGTATTCAAAGCACAACACTGTTTTGAATTATTTTGAAGTTATTGCCCTTTCTATGTTGGCAGAATATGTCAGTTTCAGGGTTTCACAGCTGTATTTATCTCATAAGTGAGAACCTCGCTATTTTAGAGCCATATCTCTCTTTAATATGATTTTGAAGTTATTACCTTTTGCATATTTTCACATCAATATTTCTTCAAAACTGAAGACATTTGGATATCAACTTGAAACTTCATACATTGATACATCTCATTAAGGAAACAACATTGTTTAAACACCTTTTTTTTTTGGATTCAATGAATTTGGTAATTTAAGAATAATCATGCTTTCATAAGATTTGAATCCCAATATTGAAATTCTTATCTTAACAATATATATATATATATATATATATATATATATATATATATATATATATATATATATATATATATATATATATATATATATATATATATATATATATATATATATATATATATATATATATATATATATATATATATAACAAATATTTTATTATAAAAAAACTACAGTGCACAGAGCTAAGATATTTGGATTGTAGCACTGCCTAGAAGTCCTCTGTAAAGAAGAATCATGCACCTGAAGTACAAATTGACCCATCCCTAGACACTTCGTTGTAAAAGTATTCTCCTCCGAAACGATAATGTCCAAAAAATAGTAATTTGGCATGAAACGTCACATTGTGATCCTGAACAAAATCATGTCCGTATGTTCTAAATTGGCCAATCCCGAACACTTACTTTTTATAGACAATTCAACATACTATCCACATAGCTTATATATTCGACTTACATCATTGCCTTGTGGACCATAACGCAATTTATATAAATTAAACACACTTGATTAATAACTTATTACATACACACTTTTATACGAAACTAATAGAAAAAAAAATGTCATGTAGCATCACACGTCTTGTTGCCCATTAACATTTTACCATAAAAATGAAGGATCATCTGACTTACAAAACAGCCACCATTTATGGTTGCTGATTTGGTACGCTTTTGTGCGTCTCGTGCGGCATGTTGTCCCGATGTCACATTGTCGCTCGGTTCAAATTGAAGGATTGGCTTATAAGCCAAGCGACAGGGAAAAATCGCGACAACGCGTGCCGCGCTAGAGACAGGATGACAAGACAAGTGCGACGACGCGCCGTTTGGCGTGTTGTCGCTAGCGCCAACTAGACGCACAAAAGCGTACCAAATCAGCCACCATAACCATCAGATCCGGCTGTCCACTTCATGAAAATGGCAAATGTTCATTCATGCCTTGGTAAGCGTCACAAAGTTGTGTACTGTCAGACCGATTGCTTATATATCAATAAAACTGTATGTGAGAAGTTAGCAGTGAACAGTGAGCTAAGCAAAAAGGCATTTCAATTTATATAGGGAAGGTAATGATCTGCTGTAATGCTCTGCTGTTTTGGGCATCTAGCAGGACATTCCTAAATATAGTGTAAAAATTCTCTGCTGCAATACTCAGCTGTCTTGGCAATCTAGCAGAGCATTCCTAGCTTTAGTGAAAAAAATGCTCTGCTGGAACGCTCAGCTGGCTAGGCAATCTAGCAGTGCATTACTAAATATAGTGTTAAAATGCTCTGCTGGAATGCTCAGCTGGCTAGCTAAGCTGGCTAGGCAATCTAGCAGGGCATTACTAAATATAGTGAGAAAATGCTCTGCTGGAATGCTAAGCTGGCTAGGCAATCTAGCAGGGCATTACTAAATATAGTGTAAAAATGCTCTGCTGGAATGCTAAGCTGGCTAGGCAATCTAGCAGGGCATTACTAAATATAGTGTAAAAATGCTCTGCTGGAATGCTAAGCTGGCTAGGCAATCTAGCAGGACATTACTAAATATAGTGTACAAATGCTATTCTGGAATGCTAAGCTGGCTAGGCAATCTAGCAGGGCATTACTAAATATAGTGTAAAAATGCTCTGCTGGAATGCTAAAGCTGGCTAGGCAATCTAGCAGGGCATTCCTAAATATAGTGAAAAAATGCTTATCTGGAATGCTAAGCTGGCTAGGCAATCTAGCAGAGCATTACTAAATATAGTGTAAAAATGCTCTGCTGGAATGCTAAGCTGGGTAGGCAATCTAGCAAGACATTACTAAATACAGTGTAAAATTGCTCTGCTTGAATGCTAAGCTGGCTAGGCAATCTAGCAGAGCATTACTAAATATAGTGAACAAATGCTTATCTGGAATGCTAAGCTGGCTAGGCAATCTAGCAGGGCATTACTAAATATAGTGTAAAAATGCTCTGCTTGAATGCTAATCTGGCTAGGCAATCTAGCACGGCATTACTGAATATAGTGTAAAAATGCTCTGCTGGAATGCTACGCTGGCTAGGCAATCCGAAATATAGTTAAAAAATGCTCTGGTGGAATGCTCAGTTGGCAGACTGATTCTGAGTTCCAGGATTTATTGTTGCCAAAGTTTTATTGACATTTTCGACTTCTAGGTAATTCTGAGGCACTTGCAGACTTTTAGGAATTTTCGGTGCCAATAGAAATAATGATATTTTTATCTTCTAAGGACCTTTAAGAGACTATTTCATTGTCCTACGACTTTTTGAAAGACACTCGCAGACTTTCAGGAATTTTGGTGCCACTGCTGATATTGACAATTAAGACTTCTACGGACCCTCAGGAGTCCATTTTGGTCGTCTGCGACTGATTCTTGGACACTCACAGACTTTCAGGAATGGTTGGTGCCAATGGAAATAATCATATTTTTGACTTCTAGGGACCTTTAAGAGTCCATTTCATTGGCCTGCAGCGTATTGTTGGACACTCGCAGACTTTCAGGAAAGTTTGGTGCCAATAGAGATGATGGCAATTTTTACTTCTAGGGACCCGCCAGAGTCCATTTTTATGGTCTGCGACTGATTCTGGGACATTCGCAGACTTTCAGGAATCTCTGGTGCCAATGGAGATAATGACATTTTTGACTTCTAGCGACCCACCAGAGTTCATTTCGCTGGTCTGCGACTGATTTTGGGACACTTGCAGACTTTCAGGAATTTTGATTCCAATGGAGATAATGACATTTCTGACTTTTAGGGAACCGCCAGAGTACATTTCTTGGGTCTGCGACTGATTCCTTGAGACTCGCAGACTTTCAGGATGTTTAGTGCCATTGAAGATCATGACTTTTTTACTTTTAAGGATCCCTTAGTCATAAGCAGAGCATTTTCCCCTAAAAATTTCATTATCTGCATTAGCACCAAAAATTCCTGAAAGTCTGCAAGTGCCCAATAATCAGTCGCAGACCAACGAAATAGACTCTGGATGGTCAAAAATGTCATAAATTGTAATTATCTCTATTGGCACCAACAATTCCTGAAAGTCTGTGACTGTCCAAGATTAAGTCGCAGACCAAAAAAATGGACCCTGGATGGTCCCTAGAAGTAAAAAATGTCATTATCTGCCTTGACATAAAAAATTCCTGAAAGTCTTTGAGTGCCTCAGAATCAGTCGCAGACCAACGAAATATACTCAAGAGGGTCCTATTGAAGTAAAAATGTCATTATCTCCATTGGCACCGAAAATTCTGAAAGTCTGCGAGTGTTCCAGAAACATTCGCAGACCAACGAAATGGACTCTGGATGGTCCTAAAAATTCACAAATGTCATTATCTGCATTAACACCAAAAAATCCTGAAAGTCTGCGATCGTCCCAGAATCAGTCGGAGACCAAAGAAATAGACACTTGAGGGTCCCGTAGAAGTCAAAAATGTCATTATCTGCATTGGCACTAAATATTTTAGAAAGTCTACGAGTGCCAAATAATCAGTTGCAGACCAACGAAATGCCCTGCTAGTTTGCCTAGACAGCTCAGCATTCCGGCAGAACATTTTTACACTAATTTTCAGAACGCTGGATTGCCTAGCCAGCTGAGCATTTTTAACACTATATTTTGGAACGCTCTGCTAGATTGCTTAGCCAGCTGAGCTTGCCAGCAGAGCATTTTTACACTATATTTAGGAATGCTCTGCTGGATTGCCTAGCCAGCTGAGCATTTTTAACACTATATTTAGGAATGCCCTTCTAGATTGCCTAGCCAGCTGAGCAATTCAGCAGAGCATTTTTACACTATATTTTGGAATGTCCCGCTAGATTGCTTAGCCAGCTGAGCATAACAGCCAAGCATGTTTCCACTTTATTTAAGAATGCCCTGCTAGATTGCCTAGCCAGCTGAGCATACCAGCAGATCATGTTTACACTATATTTTGGAATGTCCCGATAGATTGCTTAGCCTGCTGAGCATAACAGCAGAGCATTTTTACACTATATTTTGGAATGCCCCGCTAGATTGCTTAGCCAGCTGAGCATAACAGCAGAGCATTTTTACACTATATTTTGGAATGCCCCGCTAGATTGCTTAGCCAGCTGAGCAAAACAGCAGAGCATTTTTACACTATTTTTAGTAATGGCCTGCTAGATTGCTTACCCAGCTGAGCATACCAGCAAAGCATTTCTACACTTTATTTTGGAATGCTCTGCTAGATTGCTTACCCAGCTGAGCATAACAGCAGATCATTGATTTCCCTATATAAATCGTAATGCCTTTTTGCTTACCTCACTGTTAACTGCTAACTTCTCACATATAATTAAACCTAGGCATTTATATACACAATTTATCGTTGTATGAATATTGTTTGTTTTACATTAAAGCAAGTTTCGTTGTATAATGTCAATTGATTAAAAGCCATTTACTAGCAGATTTTGTTCTGGCTTTTTCTTTTGTTTACTTGAAATTTCCCTTTCGATGTAAATCATTACCGTCATGTAGAACAAAATCATTGTAGAATATAGAATAGTAAAAATCTATAAAAAGTATTCATCCACTTAAAATAGATGGAACAGAATTGATTTACGAGAGCTGAAGTTAAATCAGAGAATTTGCATATAATAACTTAGAGTGGCGGAATAAATTTGCATAAAAGCATACAATTTTTATGTACATTTAAGATACATGAATAGGATTTTGTTTGTTTTAAGGTTAATGTTAAGATCTTGTGAAAATGAAAACTTCCCATCTGGCAATGATACAGGCGATATTTATCGTGTCTGTATGTGGCCAGGATGATATTGTCTCGCAGTATATAAAACTTTACAAAACACTTGAGGAGAAGTTGTATGGAAAAATACGGCCAGTTTTAAACCAGTCAAAGTCAGTGACTGTAGAAGTTGATGTACATTTGTTAGGAATTCAAGAACTGGACGAAAAGGAACAGATATTACAGTCTAGGATTGCTCTTAACTGTCGTTGGAAGTATGAAACTTTAAAGTGGAATGTGTCTCAATATGGCGGAATCAGAAAACTGAATTTTTCACCAAAGATTGCTTGGATACCTGACATTATAATAAGCAATTCTGTTGACTCTATGTTTGTTTTGACAGATAACAACGGTGATATGAATAGAATAAAAATAATGAGTAATGGAGATGCAGAATGGGATTCTGGCGGGAACATACGTACAACATGTCGAATAGATATTACTAAATATCCGTTTGACTCCCAAACATGCAACATTGTCATTGGTAAACTTGAATATGACAGTGAAGTGTATATGTCTACATCATCTGAGAACGTTTTTACAACTGCTTTAGAAGGAAATGGCGAATGGAAATTGAAAAGTGCATTGATAAAAGAGAAAACAGTCCATCACAACGTTACTGAAATTATTGTTATGTTAACTCTATCACGTTACTGGTTTTTCTATGTTGTCAACATCATGTTGCCAGTGGCACTCTTGTCTATTATGATGGTGTTGAGCTTTAAGATACCGCCCGTTAGTGGGGAACGGTTAGGATACAATATGGCGTTACTCCTGTCTTTTGTTGTTCTTCTAAATCTGATTGGAGAATCAATGCCTAGAGTGTCTAAACAAGTGTCATATCTTCAGTTGTACGTAAGTTATCAGCTCAGTACGTCAGTAGTGATCACAATGTTGTCAATTTTACTGGTAAAATTTCAATTCACTAAATCAGAAATTAACATACCAGTTGTTATTAAACTCTATTCATTCTTCTGTCGATGTAAAAGACAAAAAAGTGAGATTTCAAACAATGTTAATGACAACAGCAGAATCGATAAACCTTCTGTTGAAAATGAAGAGAAGATCCAGTCGGAATATAATGATCAAATGCTCGCAACTGACGCAGCACAAATGATTGAAAAACTTTTTACATGGATTTTTCTTGCCATGTTTATTCTGTCAACGATTTTGTTTCTTGTAGTGGTAGCTACTTAAAATTCAAATGAATCAAACAACAGTTATCATCAACCTTTTATTTTTTTCTGATTGTCATCAGAACGATTTAGAAGAGATAATAGAAGAGTTTGTATCTCTCAAACAAAATATACTGTATTCTATGTTTCGTGACATTTATAGCATTTTCTTCATAGAAAATCTTTTAATTATGGATTGGCGTAGGATTTTCCTTATCTATATTTAGGTCTGGTGACGTCATTGTATTTACCTGGGTTAGTTGTTTTGGTTCATTGAATTTTTGTATTCCTACGCCGTCTATAAATATTCAACAGTGCGCGTAATCTGCACAGTTTTTGTCAGACACGTTCAGTTATCAGTCGTTTCTTACTTGTTCTTCAATTTTGTTAAAAAATTTTTTGGCGGTTTTAACTGTAATCGTCAGAAATCGTTGAAGTTTATTTATTTTTCAAGAGAAAGGAACTGTATTATGTAGTACTGTGGTATTGTGTGAACGGAAGGAACTCTCGGAATTGGGAATATCCCGCCGAATGAATTCGCAGAGAATTTCTAGTAGAAACAAAGAAAAAGTTGATTATAAGATGTTAGCTGAGGAAGGAGTGAAGGTGTTGATTGACGATGTTCATAAAATTGAAGACAAAGAAATGGGCGCGAAACCTAAAAAGTCGAAAACGAACAGTGAGAAAATCCTGTCAAACTCCAATGCGGATAAGCCAGACGAAGTGAAATCTACCAAGTCACCGTCAGCTAGTAAACAAACCGGTAAACACGTAAATTTGGAGAAAAAGGCGATGTTAGCTCGTTTAAATGAGTTAGATGAACAGCAAAGACGTTTAGAGGAGCAGAGAGAGTTAAACTTTTTGAGAAAGCAGATTTTGGAAAGAGAAGCTTTTGTTTCCTCGTTAGAAAAGTCAGTTTCAGCAGAGCCAGAAGTAGAAACACTTTCCCCACCCAAATCACGAGTGAATTCCGAACGTTTAGGCGCAAGTAGAACATATACGTTAAATCCCCTGGGTTCAACGTTCCACGCCAAGGACAAAGGGAGTAAGAAGATCAGCACTGGTAAGAAGACTCGCATTGCAGCTGCCTTTGACAGTCCTTCGAATCAGAAAGGTATAAACATTGATTCTTTACGCAAAATGACTGATTTGCAGAGAAAGGCTAAGAAATCATTAGCACAATTGGGATTAGTTGAAATGACAGAATCAGAGACTAGTACGGAGTCCGATGATGAGTCTAGTTATTCCTTTTCATCCTCTGAGGCAGAAGAATTTTGTTTAGATTCCAAAAAGAAAAAATCTAAAAACGTTAAGAAACAGGTCACTAAATCAGGGATCACTTCCAAGTCTTCAGACATGGTCAAAAACAGACAAAGATTTCCGCATTCAAACTTGAGATTTGACTTTGCTTCCAAAAATGTTTGTTTTGAAAATATTGAATTCAATCTATTTATAGCAGGAGAGTTGGAAATTGTCATGTCATCTAGAACTGGTAAAACTGAAAAAGAAGGTCGTTTAGAATTACTCAAGAAATTAATGTATTTGAACAGTTCTTATGACTTTTCAGCCATTAAAGCAGTATATGCTGCTATTCTCAGAGAAATTGAGTTAGGCCATGGTACTTGGAGTGATGATTTTCAATATGTTGAGTCAGCAGTTTTAGCTAGACATAATAGAAAAGTTAAATCAAAGCCTTTTGCTTCAGGAACACAGAGCTCAAATTATCATTATAAACCTAGGCCTGAATATACTATGCCAAATGATAAAACCTTTGTTAGTTCTGGTGATGAATCTAGAGTTTTCTTTTGCAACAAATATCAAAGAAATAAATGTAGTTACAAATCTTCACATTCAATGACATTAAATGGCAGAAATAGATTCTGTAAACATGTATGTGCCACCTGTTGGCAAACTGAGTTTGTATCTCTCAAACAAAATATACTGTATTCTATGTTTCGTGACATTTGAGTCAAGATAATTAAGTGTATTTGAAAATGATTATAAGTGACATTAAAGATAATTAAGTGTATTTAAAAATGATAAGTGACATTAAAGCTTGTAGTTCATCAATTTAGAATAAGACCTATATCTAGGATAAGACCTATATAAGCATCAGCTTTCGGTTCTGATCTTTTTTCATTCATTTAATGTGTTGTAAAGTTTTATTTGTAAATTGTAAATGTATATATATACTTGTTTGAAATAAACTATGTTTAATCTAAACTAGTTCATCAAAAATATAAATCAATGTTTATGTGATTTTACAGTTACATGTTACAAATGATACATATGGTACAAATCTACAAAAAAATCATGTAAACAAAAACAGTCATGAATAAACAAGCATGTAGCACGGGTAATTTAGACTGATGACGCTTAATTGTAAATCTGTCGAATGATAAAGCAATACAGATAATACTGTCGGCAATTCGAACAATAGAATAGATCTGTTGGAATCTACACTAGAAACCTGTATTTCGCATGTCATTTGATATTATTCAAAATAGGAAATCATAGAAACCTATATAACGTAATTGGAGATAAAAAAAATAACTAAAAGACCTACAAAGGATAGGGACGTAGGGAAAGGGGCCAAAAGGAAGCACCGGTGGGTGGGTGGGGGAAAAATTGAGAAAAAAAAACCTAGAAGAAAGGGGAGAGACTTACCGTAGACAGAAAAAAGAAGGGACACTCATATGTTAAGTGGCACAGGCATAGGATCAGCTAGACTCGCAACTTTTGTAATAAAATGAATAGAATTTCACGGAAATGAAAATTCTAATCGGAAAGTTGACAACCTTCATTGATGGTCTTGGAAATTTATGATGTTCTCATCAATTTAAAATCTGGAAAAAGGG